GGGTACCCCGGAGTGCCTGGAGGTCGCCATTTTGAATTTTGAAAACTTTAAAATACGGTATGTATGTCGGATTTTCCGTGAGCAATCTGTATGTTTAATATAAAAATTATTAATAATATAGCAACATTTATTATAAGAATCATTAGTTTTAAAATACATAATTATTATTATTAGAAATGTTACGTGTAATTTTATATTAACTGAAGGCTAAATAAAAATAAAACATGTTCAAACACAATATATTGTATAATAAAATTTTTATTGTATTTAAAATGAAAATTTTAATAAGTTTTAATTAAGTTTAAAAATTGTTGTATACACAATATTACTAAAATATTTTTAAAAAATTAATCCAAGTATAATATTTCAAAACAATTGTTATACAAAAATTAAAAATTATAAAATAACAACTGATCTCGCTTATAAGCCAGGCTCAACAATCTTGACAATATTAGTGTAAAACTTTAGCCATGCTGCATTAGCCTCACTAGTATACAGGTCCGACCCTAACTTATCAGCCAACTCAGCCAATATGACCCCGCCAAGTGTATTAAACATATCCAGGGTGATCCTGTAAGCCTTATGTCTAACAGACAATTTGACCAGATCACCTTTAAAGGGCTCGTCATTGCCGATACCATTAACGAGTTTCCCAAAAAAATTAAAATTCAACTCGGTCTGTTTTAGCATCTCAGGGGTACCCCGGAGTGCCTGGAGGTCGCCATTTTGAATTTTGAAAACTTTAAAATACGGTATGTATGTCGGATTTTCCGTGAGCAATCTGTATGTTTAATATAAAAATTATTAATAATATAGCAACATGGTAGTTTTAACTTAATACCTTATTAGGAGCTCGGTACCATTAGCATGCACATTGGCCCCGTAAACCTTCCAGGTACTTTGCACTAATGCAGTCTCTTGTGCGTTTAAGCCAGCCATGTAGTAATATGATTGAATTAATTTAGTAAAATATAACAAACTATTTAAAATTTATTATTAACAATTTTTGTTTTATTAATAATAAATTTAAACAAAACGCAATCCTTTTAAATAAGTTCATTTTGTATATTAATTGATTGATTGACAGTTTGTTAACTGATTAGTAAAATCAAAAAGTTTATAGAAAACAATACATACATTTCAATTATGCTTTAATGCTGTATGATTAAATAAAGTCTAATGCAAAATAATGTTAAACATTATGACTATCATATAAAAGTAGATGTCAAATGTGTTTTACATTATTGCAGTTCATATTAGTTATTTATATTACAGTAGTGCACATATACTTTTTTGCTCATAACTGACACTTTTGCCTAATAATATTTAGTACATTTAAAAAAAATCTGGTTACTATCAATAATTAATAGATACTGAAATACTTGTGATCATTGTTTATATAAGGTGGTATGTTGAAAAACAATTTTTTTATACAAAAATATTTAAAAATATAAAAATTATAATTATAATATTATTATAAAATATGTTCCCAATAACTAATTAAGAATTTATCTGACTCAAATAACTCAAATTTAAATACCAATAATCTATTTAAATAACAAAAACAATGTAGCTGCTACAAAATAAAAATTACCAACATGCATAATACAAAAAATAAATTTAAAATTATTTTATTTTTAAAACTCAAACACATAATCCAGCACAAATACATGTGATAGTTTACTATATATTATAACCCGGGTGTAACCACCGCCACAATAGCCGCATAAAACTTAGTCCACGCCTGGACTACCTCTCCTGTCATGACACCGGCGCCCAACTTGTCCGTCAGGGCACCAAATAGGGTGACCCGGAACCTCTCAAACATATCTGCTGTAATATTACGCTTTTTATGAGTAACTGCCAGTTTCTGGAGGGCCTCCTCGAAAGCACCGGGATTTTCGTCCACGTTATCCAGCAGTTTCGATATGAACTGGAAGTCTATGACCGCCTGTTTGACGACCTCTTTATGACCCGGGAGTTCATCAGAGGGTGGGAACGACTTGAATAGGGCCAGGAATGAGGGGTTCTCCGAGAATAATCTTGGTGAAAAAATAAGTTATTAAATGTAACATTGTTGTAATAATTAGGAACATGTATAGTAATTAAAATAATTTTTTTCTACAGACTGAAATAAACATTGCAATATAACTAGTTATAAAATTATGCTGATCATTTTTTGTTGTTGTTAATTTTGCGCGCTGATTGTTTATTACGCTCTATCAGGGCATATTAAAACCGTACTTGTTAATTAAGGCATTGTTTTAATATACCCTGATAATGGATTAATAACACAATGAATTTGCATATTTATGACTATAATAAAAATATAGTATTTCATAACGCAAAATGTTATAGGTACTTTTAGTTTAGCTTTATAAAATATGATATTGATTAAATATTTATAAATACTTATTAATTACTAGTATATTTTTAAAATGTTAGTAAAATATAGATATAATTAAAATTAATACATACCTAACAAAAAAGTCCGATCCATTGCCCGGTGTATCGGCCACATAGGCATCCCATGTACTCTTGACTAAAGCCTTTTCAGCACCACTTAAACCCATTATTAATATATAAAAATTTAAAGATTATTAAAATTTAACAAAAAAATTAATATTAATGAACTGTTATTGAAAGTAAATGTTTAGGCACATTATTATATACAAAAATAAATGTTATAAAAAATGAAATTTTTAAATGTTTTTAAGGTCAACACACAGTATAACCCAGGGTGTATTAAATAATTATTTAAATTTTAAAATTTATTTTAAATTATACAAATACATAAATGTTTTATTTGTATATAATAAGTTGGCATACACTAAATAATTTTAATTTTAATTTTAATTTGCATAAATTTAATATTATATAATTTAAATTATATATAGTGAACCACCTGTATCAAATAATTTCAATTATAAGTAGCAATTAAAAATAATGTTTACATGCATACACCACAGTAGTACATGTGTAACAATGCAAACCATTGTATACACGGTTAGTATTTTAGTGATTTTTATTATTTATGTTACATGTAAGATAATATTATGGTAAAAATTAGTAATAAAAATGTATAACAAAAATACTTATACGGAATTCCCGACAAAAATTACTATGAATTCAATAAATCATAATATTTTTTCTAGATAACTTTTTTGATGACTAGTTAAACATGTATTTAAAAGTTTTAATGTTTTTTGTTTTAATGAATGAAATGTTTTATTTAGTGTTAAATATTTGTCATGAAAGGGAAGTATAGTTTACGTGATATGAGACTTGTTTTCATACCATATATCTAATGATTCCCACGTTTTTGGAATTTAATCTATAATTGTATTTTGAAATTAGTTTTAAATTTTTAAAAAATACTATTAAATATTTAAAATAAATTAATTATACAGTAATATATTAACTTATTACTATCACCATTGTATTAATTTGGTATATTATTATATAAATATTAATAGGATAGGATCTGGGATTAAAAATTAAACTTTTATTTTTCATATCTCAATAAAAATAATCAATAACTTTTTGCCTCAATTTATATTTTATTAAGTCTTATTATTATATATATTTTATATGTTAATAATTTGTATTAAATAGGAAATTTAATTTAGTTGATTATAAATAATATTTTCACATTTAATTTGTCTACCGGTTAAATAAATTATTATCAATACTATAACCAATTGTACCACACCTATATAATTACACGATTAATAGATAATGACATTTACTATTATGATATGGTCTAATATTGTAAATTATATTTAATATTATATAATACTGTATTTTGTAAACATTATTATAATAATAGGTATAATGGTACATAAAAGTACCACATAAAATTAGGGTAACACGTATTCATGTGAAATATTTTATTTACATACTGGTAGACTAAATAACTACAAAAATATATTTAGCAGTTTAATAATTACTTAATACTATTGAGTGTTTACAATGATCTTACATATATTTTTGAAACGAAGAATCATAAGATTATTAATATTGTCAGGATTTGTGCACCAATTTTGTGACCAAACTATTAATTATTTGTCGCATGAAATGACTAATGTTTTACAATACGACCGGCGCTTTAGTCATCGGGTGTATAGGAGTTCCGCTACTATTTAAGTAGAAAAAAAATCACCTTGTTTATGATAAAATATTTGAGTCGTTGAATTTAATAATAACTTATCTCTCGATATACAAATACTATATAGTGAACTATTATAGATATAGATAGATACAATACAATGAATAGATTAATACTTTAATCAATACATAGTTTTAAAGATAGTGTAATATAATTATCTAATTATGTTTAAAAATTAAATTTTATACCTGCACAGTGAGTAAATATTTTTATTTTACAATTAGGTTATTGTGCATTAATAATTTAATATTATTATACTTTGAACTACTGGATAAATTGCAATAATTTAAAACTATTACAAATAATTAACAATAATATTTCAGTTAACAATACATACTCATTGTTATTATATTTATAAAAATCACGTGTTTATTATACTATACAATTTTAAGTACCACTTATCATCATGGATTACATGTTCATTATGTACCACCTAGGACATTATGTATCACTGAACTAACAAGCAAATATATTATATATATAAGACAAAAATATTTATCATAATATTTATAACGAAAATCTTATAAACATGACCGAGTCACATTTATTATATAAATTTTTACAATGCTACTGTTTTATTATATATGGTTTAAGTGTTATAATAAGTCCATTTATGATAGGTGTGACAATTGAATATGTTCATGATGAATTAAAACAAGCATTATTGTCAATCCTATTTGCGCTTGGTACACTTATTTGTGCAATGGGTCTTTATGGTTTATCCCGTCCAATATGGTGGGCCCACATACCTTACTTGGCTTATGTGAGCTGTTTAATATCTACAACAATTGTATTAGCATGTTATAATGTTAGATTTTTATATTTAACCTTGATATGTTTGCTAGCGTATATTCCTTGTTTGATATTTTTATTTATTCCTAATACTGATTGTAACCTGGTTACAATGGAGTCAAAAATAAATAATATTATTAAATTATAAATATACGATAGTACATTTTGGTTACTAAAATGTTTAAATTATCACCAGTGTATATTTTATAACAATAAGAATATTTTGTTTTATTCAACTAATGCTCTGTAAAAATAATATTATCAAAATTATAATTATATTTTTCTAAAATAAAAAATGGTTTTTGAGTATTTTATTAGTTTTCATTAAATTAAATTTTTAGACGGAGCACTAATAAAATTATTTTTAAAAACAATTTAAATGTTATATTAGAAACCAAATAAATTATTATAATTATAATTAGTAAACAGTTAACATCATACTAATATTACTTGGAATATAGTGTTACTTTAATAAGCTACATAAAACTTAATAAACTTATTTGTGTAATACAGCAACTATGTTTGCAATATGTAAGCACTTAATGTACTTGATAAGGTATACATTAAAATTAATTATTGCCTATTTGAAATATAATAGTATAGATATATAATCAGTATACTGTAATATTATTATATAAAATATTTGCTGCTAAAATAAGCAGTAACATATTATCAGTACTTTTATTACCGTAACGTACTTATAAATAAGCTAATATGAAATATTTAAAGGTATGATTAATTTTCAGGTAAATTACCTATAAATACACATAACAATAGCTTGGTTATTTAATAATTATTGATTTTGTTACAGCCCGTAAATTGGTGTTAAAAATATTTATTCTAGTATTATAATTTTGTATAAATTAACTTGGATAAATCATACTAAAATTATATAATAAATAATTATGAAAAGTTTATATTGCTTATGTATAATCATATTTTGTGTAACTGATGCTGGTGGAATCAATGAAGCAAGTGTTAATTTAAATCTTCCTGATAATTACTTAAAAATTGTGACTGATCCTAAAACTCAATGGTGCATGCACAAAATTGCCCCATATTGCCCCAGTACTGTAAAAATGGACCAGGATCTTGATTATTATTGCTGCATATTTTGGGATATACTAGATTGCTACAAGGCAAATTATAAGGTACTAAATATTTTTAATATATATTTTATAAGGTATTGTTATCAATGATAACTTATCATTATAATTTTTAACAAAAATTAACATAGCCAATATATACTTTATTTGATTTGTAAAATTTATCTTGATAATGTTGTAAATATATATTTAAATAAACATATTGTTACAATGATGAACAAGCTGCAATTTACCGTAATTGGGATAAAATACCGTTTGGATTATATTATCAAGGTCTACTTGTTAGATATATTGAACAATACCAATGTAATGATCAAGGTTATACCAAAAGGTATTGCCTTGATCATACTCAACCTACTACCTTACCCACCACAACCACGACTAATGACTCATATACAGTTAATAGTAATTGCGTAATAATCTTAATTGCATTGGTAATTTTTCTTATTTACATAAATTAATATTTTATTTATTATATGAATATTATAATAATATTTTGTAAATTTAATAATAACTAAATATTTAATACAAATTCTGATTGTAAATTATACAAAAAAGTTTGCAATATTGTAAAGTAACATAAATAATTATTATTTACTTTATACAGGGCGGCCAAAATATGGCACCCCTACTTTGATTTTAATTTATTTAAATACCGTCTTGTTTATTTTATCCATTTATTCACTAAATTGAAGCTGGATAGTTAGGGTTTTGTTTGGTATATGATTTGTCCAGGTCGGTATTAAC